TACACAATAGTATTATTTATAAGATTAAAAGACAAAGTTTAGGAAATGCTTAGATACATGCCTGATACATAGTAAGTGCTAACTAAGTGTTTGATAACTAAACAAATAGGGAAAGAAAGTATATTAGAATCAGAGTATATTCTATTGGTAGAGGGAAACATATTTAGAGGTAAATTTGATTACTAAGAATTTAAACCTCACAAGGTAAAAGTCTTGTCTAGTTAGAAAATATTTAGGTCAAGTAGAAATAACCTTTCTTCTTTCCCTTTTAGCATTTGTCACTTTTAAATTTGTACCACATTTAATTGCAAGCACTTTTTAACTCTCTTACTGTGCTGAAAATCCTGTAAGAATGTTCATCTTTGTATCCTCGGTCCAACAGCACCTGCATATATATAAAAATTGACTCAGGGCTTTTTTGGCAAAGAATTTCAGCAGTGATAGAGACTGGGTAATGTCACATTTTAATATTTATCTTGTTTCTTTCTATTGTGTAGTGGCAGACATTGAAATTTCAGAAAAAAAGAAGAAGAAGATTTTGGTAATATATGTGTTAATTTAATTGCAAAAAATAAATTGTATAATTTAAAATTTTATTTTTATTAAAATTGTTATTGAATACATTCACTTGCCCTTTTTGATTGCAGAATTGTTTTTCAAAAACCGAGATATCCTTACCAAATACAGACTAGTGAGAAAGTATCCTAGTAGTTTATCCAGTGTGAAAAGTTTCAAGATATTTCATATTTCAGAGATCCTTATCAGATAAAAGAAGTATGGAATGCATCTCCATTCCTAGAGACATTATCTTTACGTACTACTGTCTATGCCTTTTGATAAGAATTTGGAAAATGCTCATATCTAAATGAAAACAATCCTCCCTAGTTTAAGATCAAAGATAAATAAAATAAGGTATTAAGTTCCACTAATAAATTACAATATAATCCCTTGAAAATTTAAACAGTGTACTATTTCAAATTTAAGAATAACTTAACTCTATTCTTCTCTTACAATATTCTTATGATATTCAATGACAAATGCTTACCAGTTTGTGACCCTATAAAATGTTGGGGTGAAAACACATACCCCAAAGATTGCTACCACTGACCTTCTTTTGGGTTGTGAAACAAAAGACTTTCACTAAGCATTATTTTTCAGATGTGAAGTGTGAAACTAGTTCATTTGAAAATACTTGTTAACATAGCAAAATATGTGTTTTTCTTTCAAATTAAGTTTCATTCATGTCATGTTTTTTTTAAAAAATTATGGTAAAAAAGTGTTTTTACAGTAAAATAAAGTCAAGTAACTATCTTTCTAACAATTGGATAATTTTACTCAACCCAATCTATGAAAGCCTTTCCCCAGTACTGCGTGTCAGCCTGTTTCTGATCTGGGTAGGCCTTCCTTACCAGTCCCTACCTCTGTGCCTTGGAATGTCTTGAGTGGATTCACATCCTTTGTCAAAACTCTGATTGAGATGTCGATTGTGTCTCCCTCCTCCACCCCACCATCTAATTAGGGCTGGCCCTGTGACTATTCCTTCCCTAAGTGAGTCTGTGCCAATTCTGGGCTTAGCCTTTAAAAGGACTTGACAGTTTTTGTTTTGTCCCTCTTGGAATACAAGTCCTCGCTTTGCCCCTGCTTGGATCTTAGCCACCGTGTTATAAGAGGCTCAGGCCATGTGCAGGGGCCTCGAGGAGGAGAAACGAGGCGCTCCAACTGCCTGCTGGGATGGTCTTCCTGCTGACAGTCAGCACTGTAAGGAAGCCATCTTGGCCCAGAGCACTCAAACCTGCAGGTACTTATGTCACAGGAAGTAGAACCACCCAGTTGAGCCCATTGGATGCAGAGATTCATCAGAGATTTAGCAAAATAACTGCTGCTTTAAGTCCCCACATTTTGAAGTAGAGATGTAACCAAAGCAACATTCTTCTTCCTCTTTTAAAATAGGGCTTAAGCTTGGGTCAATTTAAGATTAGTGCTAAATAGATTTTTACTTTATTCCAATTGTCTTTATATTGCATTTTCAACTAAAGTATACGTTATTGAGGGTCACAGATATTGCTCTATTTTCTTTCCATATGTCCCTATAGCTATCAACACATTACTAGGCACATGAGACTAACAACCTGAGATTGCCAATTGAATCATAACAGAATGGAGGTGAAAACAGGGCATAGAAAAAGGGTCTTAAGAAATTAGATTTTAAAAGACCATGTCTACGTTTACATAAATCTGTATACAGACACACACACACACATTCTCCTTTATATTGGCATTTAATCTGGATTATCTGAGCAAAGTAATTAATGGTCATCCAGAGTTTGTTTGTATACTCAACCTAAATACCAATTTAGTGAGAGGCATTGTCTCATGTTGGTAATTAACATGTGGAACTGTAAAAGAAGACCAGATCAAAGAGAAAAGGGAAATTATGCTGTAAATCAAAAATAAATAAATAACTTTGACAGGAAAAAAAGCTAAAGTGATGGGTTGGAGCTACACTGTAAAAGCAGAGGTGAACATAACAATTTTTTCCTTTCAGTTTCTGCTATGTATTTTGCATGCACTTAATTAGGAAAGTAATAGTTATTATATCCATTCACTGTAATGAATAATGTTCTGCAAATGGGTACCGTATACAAGACCATTTACTGGTATAGTAATAATGAAACACAACTCAACTCAGCATCTTGGTTTAACAAATAGAATGATAACTAACGTGTCTATTTCTCATCCAGGACTTTCTTTCTTAAGAATGTGAGGGATTTTAATTTTTTAAATCCAAGCACTTTTGAGTTCTTTACATTTTAAAATAATAGCTCTACTGATAAGTCAAAAAATAACCAGTATTTTAAAGTAATTCTCCGAGTTCCTTTTCTCGAGGACCTATCATCCCAGGAAACCTCTCCCTGCTGTGTGGCTTCCCAGAATTTATATTTCTATGTTTCAGAACTGCATTTGCTTGGAGAGAAAAGGGTTAGAAAATAATGCAGAGTACAAAAGGCATGGTGTATGTGTGTGGGTGGTGGCAGCCTGACATTGAGTACCTCCCTCTGTAGATTCTTAAGTTACACTTGTGTAAAATATAAAGATAATTGGCCTGTATATAAAGACACATTAAAAAACATTTTTTAAATGTGTTTTATATTCTGTTTTGAAATGCAAGTGATTCACAAAAACAAATAGTGCAGCATAAAGCTTTATTTATGCAGTCATACAGGTGTTCTATATCGTTCAAGTACATTTTAAATTTATAATGTGAGGAGTATAAGGCATAACTCTTCACACTCAAGTCTGTGTCTTTCTCAATTGAGACACTAGAGTGAGAGAAAGTAGAAAGGGGTGGGGGAGAAGAAGAGTGGGGAGGGACAGGGATGGGGAAGAGAAGGAAAAAATAAGGTACCCAGAAAATACCATCAAAAGTCCCCTGCCTCGCCTAACCCAAGCATGTCGATTTCAAATATGTGAGCATCATATCTAGGATGCAACAAAGAGGTGGCCCTCATGTGTGCTTCTGGCTGAGACAGGGTGCTACAGCCTGCACTGCATGCCTGTCTGTCGCCTCATCTAAGTCCCCATCCTCCCGGAGTTGTGAGCTCTCCGTCCTGAGAGAGCCCGGTGCACGGTCCTAGGCGCGCTGGCCCCGCGGAGAGGCTGCCACAGGTTCGTGCGTGTGCGGGCCGGCCGGGCGCTGGTGCACGGATACATTAGGGGGAGGGAGGGTACCATCTGCTGGAGACTTATCTGGATACCCGCATTTCCCGGCCCCCACAAGGAGTGTGCGAGGACAGGTAGCCCTGGCAGCGGCAAGCAGCTCGGAGTGCAGGCGTGCAAGGCGCAGGAGGAGCGGGCGCCACTGCCAGATCGTGACCCGGCCGGGGCGTTTGCAGACCCACACAGCTGCCTCGGGTCTCCACGCTGTCCTCTAGAACGTGCTGCCCGAGAACCCTGAGCCTCGGCCCTGCCTTGCTTCGGGATCCTCTTGCTCCTCCTTCCCACCACGTACCTGGCCAGAACAGCGGGACACGCGGCTGGGGAACCCCTCGCTGCGGGACCGACCCAGCCCCGGGTCGCCTCCGCCTCCCGCCGCCGCCGCCGCCGCGCCCGGCTCGCCGCGCTCCAGCCCGCACCATGGAGGAGCCCCTGGTCAGCCCGCGCGCAGCCGGCGACGTCTCCCCAAGAATCTCTGGCCTGGCGCCCTCTGGGTGAGACGACTGGGTTGGGGGCTGGCGTCCCTGTCGGTCCCAGGTTGCCCAGAAAAGCCCTGGCTGGGAAAAGAGGATCCGCGTAGGCTGGGAGCTCCACGTCCTCCTCCGGCAGCGTCTTCCCCTCCTCTCCATCCCCGCGCCTGGGTTTGTTTATATAGCATCTGGAAGCTGCGGGGACTCGCCCTCCCCTCCGGGCGGCCCGCCCTCCCCTCCCGGCCCGGGCTCCCGCACGTGGCGGGCACCGGCGGCGTCTCCGCGGCAGGCAGGCGACAGCGACGGCGGCAGGCGCGGGTGCAGGCGCGGCGCATCTCCGGCAAGCCCAGCCCTGACTGGGGCTTCGCCGCCCTCCGTCCCCTTCCCGGGAAGAGGAGGTTTCAAGCGGTGCCCTCCGGCGCTCGCGACGCTCCGCGGGGTCCGCCAGTCGCGGAGAAGAATGGTAACATGAACGGCGGGGCAGGAGCGTCACCCGGGAAGGCGAGCGATTGATGGGCAGCGCGCTCGCCCCGCGGAGGGTCGCGTTCCCGAGGACGCGCGGGGAAGGGACGTCGCGGCGCCTCCGCGTCCTGGCCGGACTCCGCTGACATCTGTAGCCAGCCGCCTCTCCTGCCGCCTCCAGGGCCGCCGAGCCGCCGCCTGCAGGGAGCGCGGAGACGGCGCGGAGCACCGGGGCTGGGGACCTCCCTCCGAACAGCTCTGCCCCGGGTCCGTGTCCCTGGGTCCCCGCGGAGCACGCCGGCACGCCGGCGCCGGGCCGTGCTGAACTTGAGTTCAGGTGGGTTATCCCGAGGGCCTCACAGGGCAGATGTTCAGGGAAGGCGAGGAAGGTGATGCTCCAATGTCATAAGCGGACACTTTCCTTCTTGACACTTGATGGGGCTGAGCCACTTCTTCCCACTCAGTTCCCTCTCCTAACCAACCCGTCCTCCCAGCCCAGCCCTCCAGGGAGAGGGACAAACAAACCAACAAAAAAAACCCTCTTGTTCCCTTAAGTAGCTCGTATGTGATTGACTTTTTCATAACATATTATTAGTCTAGGAACCGCGCATATTTACTCCACTGCTTTATATTAATGGAGGTCAATAGGCTTAATGATTTCCTCAGCCAAGTCATTTATGCCTAAGCCAATAGATAATGCCTTCGTCATAGTTTTCTGGGGGGAAAGTAACTGTGCGTTTGTTCCGCAGATGGCCAACTCCCTCTGAATCGTGCAGATTGGTGCTGAGCACGCAACAAAAGTTTGTAGCTTCTCAGTTTCTGGTGCTTCGCAGGGGAGAGGAAAGGACTTTGGCATTAAACACAAGAAGCAGTCAGGGAACCATCTCCTTTAACTTTTTCTCTCTGTTACCATTTGCAATGAAGAGGAAACAGAAGAGATTTCTACAGATGACTTTGTTATTCATGGTGGCTTTAATTTTCCTGCCTAATATTGGTCTCTGGTCTCTGTACAAGGATAAGCACCTGGTGAAGTCTACAGAGCCCGGGGAGCAGCAGGTAAGTACCACCCGGAGAAAGATCACAGGAGGGTTGGTGAGGCAGGCAGCCCTGGCGCTGGGGCAGGAGCAAGCAGGACTAGGATCGCCTTGGGTTTTCTAAGTTTTTACAGAGCTGATGTTACAGGACTCTAGAGACTTTGAGGTTTAACCAAGTTGTTGTTTTAAGATGGCAGTCAATAATATGGTGAAATGTAAAATAAACTAGGAAAGAAGAGTAAGAGAGGTCAAGAAGAGAAGATAAACTTTCACAGTATGTCTTAGGTTGATTTTGGCTTGAGGTGGAGGAAAGCTAACTGTGCTTATTTGTGGAGATGGGAGTGGGTTTGGCTCAAGTTCAGTTACAGGGATTGGTTTTTGCCTTCCATCTGGTTTTTCTGTATATTTTAAAGTGAATTGGGCCAACTAAATCGTTAAAATTGTGAAGTGGTTCTTGAAAACCAAGTTTTAGTTCTCTGAATTTGGTTGCAATTTTTGCGTGGCAACACCTTTTTACCCTGTGGAAACTTAGTCTCTTTCATTTCTCCTGTTGCTAACTAAGGTGCCGTGGTAGGGTATACAAGAAGAGTTATTAAGAATGGCCATTCAGTTTCACAGTCTGGTGGTAAGAGTTTGATGCTAACAGCTTTCTTTTATATTGGAAATATCATGCAGTATGATATGTTTTCTTTCTACTTAGTATATAATCCATTAGTATGTATATGGCTCATGACTTAAGATGCATCAAAATAACTGTCATTCTTGGTAAATAATAAGGCAAAATATTTTTCACAAAATGTCCATGAAAGTCAATATTGTTGCATTCCTTGTTTATTAATAAAACAGCTTCTGTAATTTAACTTTTAACACTAGAATGCAGCCTTCTTTATGATATTGATATAACACTTTTTCAGTTAGTCCTGTGCATCACCTTGGGATATTAATATTCTTAATTTCAAGGGTCATCACCCATGTCCACTGTGTTCCTCCCCCACACACAAAATGTTTAAGTAGTTCATTTCTGGATAACAGCAATGTATGTGACAAATATTTGTTCTTACATTTCATGAAGTTTATTTTTTTTTACATAGTGAGTGGTGAGTTGTGAAACGTATAATGGTAATCTGCTTTTTTATTATTTCAAGAAGTCATTACTAGTCTCTAAACTTTAAAGATAACTAGTTACCTATAGATTTTGAATAGATTGGAATTTTGAGGAAAGATATTGATATAGTTTCATTTAGTTGTTGATTTCTATCATTGTTTCTAATACAAATTTATTTTGGTTGGAAGTATATTCTGTTTTGCCATCCCAGTGAAAAAAGATGTGCACCTTGGATGTGAAACTTTTCTTTTTCCTATTTGTCTCACCTATTTCTTCAATCCTTGATATAAAACAGGATTTTATTAACACTAATAGTCAATACATTATCATGTAAAATTTCAATTCCAATGTTGGTAAAATAAAAAAAGCAAAAATATTTTTCCTTGAAATTGGCTAATTCAGTTAACAGTAACCAACTAAAGTATTTTATGATATAGTTAACATAAAACTTATTAATATTATTAATGATATCTTTACAACTTTCACATTGGCTCTATTGATTTTGACCATTAATGAGAAAATTGTTTGTCCAACGGCATACAAAAATAAAATGTGGCAATTCAATTCTCTGACTTGTCATTATAATCTCCAAAACTGTTTTCTTGTTTCTGGTTTCTCTGTAGTGCATGTGATAATTTTGCGTAATAAAGTAATGCTATTAAAGGCATGGAATGGCAAAAGAAGCAGGTGTTTCTCAAAGTTTCATATGCTGCAGAGTAAATGACTCAGACTGATGGCTATCCTGTGACATTCCAGTTTAATTATCCTGTGTAAAAATTTTGAACTAAATAAGTGAAAAAAAGATAGTGATAAGCCCTAAAATGAATTCCAATCTTCTACTTCAGCATTTTTAGCCTAAATAATGATTTTAAGACTAATACTTTCTTAACAGATAAAAAATAAAGTTAAAAAGGTAGAAATTAATTGATCACTTACTTAAAGATAGAATTCATTGTAAAATAGGAAAAGTTAAGTTTTCATTGGCTTTATTTTATTATTAATTATCATTAGAAGGAAAATTAAGATATGTTGTCATGATTATGTAAGTTTTGGATAAGAGTTAAGTTGTTAATATTGATATTTGACCAAACAAAAAGTGACCTGAATTAACCATGGTTAATAGAAGTGAAGAAATATTTTGATGTATCTATATTTCAATGTTAGGAAGTTGGCTAAATACATAGGTTTTCAACTGAAACATACAACTTGATTTTTGGGTAATGTGTTATTTAAATTTAGCAATTTATTTTACAAGGACATTTTCATGATTAATTGCTAAATGTTCTCCAGAAATCATTTATTACTATATTTCTCTCCAAGTCCTAAAATGTGGAGGGTAAGGACAATGTGCTGATTGAGGCATTGACAGCAATAAGTACTGAAGCTGCTCAAAACCAGTCACGTGCCCAGATGAGCAAACTATTTTCATGGCAGTTATGTGCATAACAGCCAGCAATTCTAGTTTTAAGTGTGGCATGGAAGTGGTCCCAGGAGTTGAAAGGCCTGCACTATTTTAAATAATTTCAGTATAACAGCAGGTTACAGGGAAATAGTTTAATTTATGGAAATTTAAAATTATGGAATGGCTAGTATTTTTTAATTTGTATTTTACCAGATCACATGACTAACAGCTTTCCCACTGACTATTCATAATAAATTGCATTTATTATGCAACCTGAGATTAAGGGAGGTGAAACAGAAAATACTGATAAAAACTGTGTGTATTAATTTTCATAGTTTAGTATTTAAAATATATTGTTCTCAAGTCTATACTATTCCAGATTAATTGTATTTTTTATAGTTTATATTTAAAAGTAATATTTATAATTATGCATATTTAAACATTTGCCCATCTATGATGCAGAAATTGAAATAAATGAAGTAAAATATCCCAAATTATTCCTCTAAAAGTTTTTCTTTTTCCTTTTCCTGCATAAAAGAGGATTGATAAAATAGTTTTAAAAACACAATACAATTGGAAAAGATTTTTTATTGTTTGGGTTCTCAAAAATTGAAATCAAATTATTGGAATACATATTGAATTGTAAGATTTTTGAGGTTTTATAAAAAATTTTTTAAAATTTTATATTTTTTATTTAGATGTTATTAAATTATCATAATTGTGATGTGTTATTTTCAATTGACTTATTTTGTCTCTTTTTTGTTATTGGTATGATATAAGCACCTCCTTTATGTTATTAGAAATATATGCATATATTAAAATATCTATTCATAGAATATGGTATTTAGCTTAGAATAATTGCTATATGATTATTGTAAAGTAATCCTTAATTTCATTTTTCTTTTTAAAAATTTGAAATGCCACTCTTTTCTGGTGTCAGTTATATTTGAATTAAAGCCCAGTTACATATTTAGGTCTTAATTAAGCTGTGCATTAGGAGGATATATGGAAAAACACAGTATGTTAGAACAAAACTACTACATCCCGTATATCTCTCTTCTTAATTATTTATTCAAGTGCACATAAAAAATGCTACTCAAAACACTTTCTTTTCTTAAATATATTAAAGAGATTAACCAAACTATTTTTTAAAAGGAACTGTAATAGTAGTTTAGCAGTTTACTTGAAAATAATATGAGTTATGGAAATAATTCAAGAATATTCAGAGTATGAAGAGGACTTCGCAATTTTTGAAATAAAAATGAGGGTTGAAATTCTAGAATTTTAAGTCAGAGAATCAGAATTGTTCAGAATGATTTTAGAAGCTTATATTTGGCCTGGATTTTCTATGACATAAAAAACTAGGCCTTCTATGTCACTTTGAAATTGCGGAACCTTCTTGTTTCTTTGAATTTCCAGATTTCTATTTATAAAATAGGGCTATTCGTGCTTGTCACACAACAAGATGCATAAAGTCCTAAGAGAGCACACCTTAGATATGGAAAATGTCGTGAGGTACTGCTTTGTTTGCATCAGGTTTACGTGCGGACTGTGTTTGACAAATGTGTGACTTCACCTCCATTAAAAAAAAATATCTCTCCTGAAAGAGATTCCTTGGAATCTTTGTCTAATTCTTCTAATATTAATCAGCTCCACACTTCAGAGGGAGTCTTCTTTTTGGCCAAGAACATTTTTTTTCCTGTGGCATTTTAAACTTGTTTTATAACATGAAAATACCAGATAATTGGTACCCAGTGTATGCAACCTGTCTTATGCTTTTTTTTTTTTTTTTTCTTTTTTGGGTCATGCTGATCACTAAAGCTGTGAAGTATGTCTGTGATCCTTTTCCAGCAAACACCTCAGATACTGGAAGAGCTAAGGACAGGAGGAAAAAAAAAAAAAACACAAGATTTTTCTCTTCTTGCACTCAGGATGCTACATTATCAACAAATTGGATGTGAAATGACGCATTAGTTTGAGCCACGGTGTTCTTAATTAGCTAAGATGTAAGGTTTACATTAGGGTTTTAAAAGACCTTTTCTTGAATTTATGGAAAATCCATTCAGAGTCACTACAGGACGGCACCACACAGACCACTGTAACAAGTGTCTTAATTATTTGCTGTGACCTAGCGGATTGCTACATGATTAGTTCATCACATTACCCCATGGGAGAGACGGAGTGTGAAACACAGTCTCCTATTCACAAACTGGTAAAAAATTAGATAGAGTTTTTTCCCTCCCCCTCCCTTCATTTCTGATTTGGACAAATTGTGCTGACTCAACTAACCTTCTATAAGTTTCTCCTATAAAAGAAACCAAATCAAGTTGGAATACATGGGAAAGGGTTAGAAAGATTGAATAATTTAAGTAGTATAGAGAAGAGGAACAAGTAATTGTTGTTTGTTTTATATTAAGTTTGTCAGAAGAAGCCATGTCTTCCTAAAGGAGACAACTTTTAGGCAGTTTGCAACCATGTCTCTCCCTGTAAAATTTTTATACAGATGAATGGAAGC